GTTATCTGCAATGAGGCTCTGATAGGTAATGCAGTAAAGACATTTGTCTTAAGAAGTTACTGATTTCACTCTGTGGAACAGTAGTTCAAAGATCAGCAAGTTCAGAACAAGCAGGAATGGTAACTTTTATGGGCCTTCTCTTTGTTCTCCAGACACCCCCACTCACCTCTCTGCTTCTGTTCCAGGGCTCAGGAGGAAAGTACAGGGCTGCTGAGTGGCCTCCGGATCTGGCACACCCAGCTGCTCCCAGGCGGGCTCCAGGGCCTCATCCTCAACCCCGTTTTCCGCCAGAACCTCCGCATTGCCCTGCTGGGTGGGTATGTCACTTCTATCTCTTCCTAAGCTAGGCCAAGGGAACTGCTGCTTATTAAACTGCTATTAAATTTTGGGAGGGGGGGCTTATGGGGACCTCCTTGGAACCCTGTGGTCTCCACCTTGGGGAGCTCCTTTAGGAATAAGTTGGACCAGATGTAGCTGTGTGGTGTAGGAAATGTCCCCCAGTCATGGACCCTGAGGATAAGGGTGGAAAGATGGCAGGAGGGCGGCAAGGAACACAGACAGAGTTCCTTACTCTTTTTCTGTTTTTTTTTTTTTTTTTTTTTTTTGAGACGGAGTTTCGCCCTTGTTACCCAGGCTGGAGTGCAATGGCGCGATCTCGGCTCACCGCAACCTCCGCCTCCTGGGGTCAGGCAATTCTCCTGCCTCAGCCTCCTGAGTAGCTGGGATTACAGGCACGTGCCACCATGCCCAGCTAATTTTTTTGCACTTTTAGTAGAGACGGGGTTTCACCATGTTGACCAGGATGGTCTCGATCTCTCAACCTTGTGATCCACCCGCCTCGGCCTCCCAAAGTGCTGGGATTACAGGCTTGAGCCACCGCGCCCGGCCTGTTTTTGTTTTTTTTTGAGACGGAATTTCGCTCTTGTTACCCAGGCTGGAGTGCAATGGCGCGATCTCGGCTCACTGCAACCTCCGCCTCCCGGGTTCAGGCAATTCTCCTGCCTCAGCCTCCTGAGTAGCTGGGATTACAGGCACGCGCCACCATGCCCAGCTAATTTTTTGTATTTTTAGTAGAGACGGGGTTTCACCATGTTGGCCAGGATGGTCTCTATCTCTCGACCTCGTGATCCACCCGCCTCGGCCTCCCAAAGTGCTGGGATTACAGGCTTGAGCCACCGCGCCCGGCTTCTGTTTTGTTTTGTTTGTTTCTGAGACAGAGTCTTGCTGTGTCACCCAGGCTGGAGTGCAGTGTCACAATCTTGGCTCACTGCAGTCACCACCTCCTGGGTTCAAGTGACTCTCCTGCTTCAGCCTCCTGAGTAGCTGGGATTACAGGCACCAACCACCACGCCCAGCTAATGTTTGAATTTTTAGCAGAGATGGGGCTTTACCATGTTGGCCAGGCTGGTCTCAAACTCCTGACCTCAAGTGATCTGCCTCCTCGGCCTCCCAAAGTACATGGATTACAGGTGTGAGCCACAGTGCCTGGCCAGGGTTCCTTACTCTTGGCCCATCCTGGCTGTAGGGGGAAGGCCTGGTCTGATGACACAAGTCAGCTGGGACCAGACAAGCATGCCCGGGATGTTCCCTCCCTTGACAAGTACGCTGAGGAGCGATGGGAGGTAAGCACTTGGGACTTTGCTTCTACCTCCTATGGCCCTTGGGGCATGGTCTCCCTGTTCTTTCTGTTCTTCAGGTGGTCTTGCACTTCATGGTGGGCTCCCCCAGTGCAGCGGTCAGCCAGGACTTGGCTCAGCTCCTCAGCCAGGCTGGGCTCATGAAGAGGTAAGGAAGTTTGAGGTATAGCAGCTTGCTGCTGTGCCATCTCCTTGAGTCTCTGATAAATGGTATCTGGGGCTAGTCAAGATCAGAGGACATTGTCTGGAAAAGGCAAGCTGAGTAGAATACAGCCAGAGACACCCAGAAAAAACATGAGCAGACAAGTGGGCATAGCAGCCTTTCTCTGCATATCACCGTCATTGTCCCACTCTTCGTCCTTAGTACTGAACCTGGAGAGCCGCCCTGCATTACTTCTGCTGGCTTCCAGTTCCTGTTGCTGGACACCCCAGCCCAGCTCTGGTACTTTATGTTGCAGTATTTGCAGACAGCCCAGGTGAGGAGGTGGGGGCCACTTGCCAGCATGCTCTGCTCCTCTCAGGTCTCACTGAGAGACTCCTGCCTACGGACTGTTCCCTAATTTTCTCTTCTTTGTCCCTTTCTTCCCATTGTCTCCCTCCCATCGCTCCTTTGTCTCTGCCTCTTTCTCCCTAGAGCCGGGGCATGGACCTAGTAGAGATTCTTTCCTTCCTCTTCCAGCTCAGCTTCTCTACTCTGGGCAAGGTAAGCAGGGCTGACAGGTATGGAGATGCAAAGGGGAAAGCAAGTCGTGGGGCAGTAGAGCGAGAAGATAAGAATGAACACAGAACAAGCAGAGACGGATGGAGAAAGAATGAATGTGTGCGGTTGGGGGTGGGTAGGTTGTGTTTTGGACCCCAGCTGGTCACCTCTCATCCCCAGGATTACTCTGTGGAAGGTATGAGTGATTCTCTGTTGAATTTCCTGCAACATCTGCGTGAGTTCGGGCTTGTTTTCCAGAGGAAGGTAGGAGTGCCTAATAAGTAGCTTCCAGGGAAGAAACGGTGCTGTTGCCTTCACCATTAAAAAAGAGTGGGGTCTTGGGGTAGTAGTGGGACTGAATACGTGGGTCTCTCGGGGGAGAGAAGTAGGGGGTTGAGGTTTTGCATCTTGGGAGGGGTCTGATATTTCAGGCAGGAAGATGTAGGGCAGTGACTTCTGAGACAAGGCATCTGCCTTTCTATCCTTTCCAGAGGAAATCTCGGCGTTACTACCCCACACGCCTGGCCATCAATCTCTCATCAGGTGTCTCTGGAGCTGGGGGCACTGTGCATCAGCCAGGCTTCATTGTCGTGGAAACCAATTACCGACTGTATGCCTACACGGGTGAGGTGGGACAGAGGGCCCCTGGGAGAGCAGGCTGGGGGAGAGGGAATGCCAGTTTTTGTTCCCATTTACCTGGCAGTTTACAGAGCTCTCTGATACCTCTCATGACACTTGAAAGGGCTGGAGGGAGTCTGGGTGTGGGGGTGGCCTCCTCATCCTCTTTCTATCCCTGGCTCAGAGTCGGAGCTGCAGATTGCTCTCATTGCCCTCTTCTCTGAGATGCTCTATCGGTTCCCCAACATGGTGGTGGCGCAGGTGACCCGGGAGAGTGTGCAGCAGGCAATCGCCAGTGGCATCACAGCCCAGCAGGTATTCCCACTTGGGAGAGGTGGAGCAGGAAGACAGGCCGCACTTGGGCTATGGGGTACAGGGTGGTCACATTATGGAAGACTAGCTCTGAGTCTGTTACAATAGGTGGTGGTGAGTTGTCTGTGTTTGAAGAGAAATCAAGGCTTTGGGTATGAGAACAGGCAGACCCTTGAGGGGGAGAAAAATGGAAGGCGGAAGTATAGCTCTGGATTTGTGCCTCGGCACCACCACATCCTAACTGCATAAACTAGACCTAGTTGTTTTGCCTCTGTGAGCCTCAGTTTCCTCGTCTAGTAAATAACAGTTCTCACCTCAGGGTTGTTGGGATAATTCATTGGAAGAATCGGGGTAAAGCATTGAGCTCAGCACCTGCCATGCAGTAAGTGCTAAAAAAATAGTAGCTGTTGCTATTTTAAAGAAAGAAAAACAAAACATTACTGGAAAGGGCAAATGTGCCAGAGAAGGAATAGCAGACGTGACCACTGGGAGCAGCAACTTCGGATAACAGCTGAACTGGGATGGGTGGAGTTGATGACAGCAGTTAAGAGTTTTTAGAGTAAGCTGATGTTCCAGTGACATTAGGTGACAGTTCAGATGGCTTTCCTGCCCTCTTGCTGGAGCCCTCATGCCATTCTTTTATGTTTTCCTAGATAATCCATTTCCTAAGGACAAGAGCCCATCCAGTGATGCTCAAACAGGTACAGACAGGCTGCAAGATGTTAGAGGCTGGCAGCTGGTGATGAGAAAGATGATGGAAAAGAAAAAGGGGCATCCAAATCTCGGGAAGGAGCGGAGGGCCGGGTAGTCTGGGGCAGTATTCCTGAGTCCCTACAGCCAACCCTTGCTCCTTGCAGACACCTGTGCTACCCCCCACCATCACCGACCAGATCCGGCTCTGGGAGCTGGAAAGAGACAGACTACGGTTCACCGAGGGTGAGTCGCTTTTGGTGGCCAAGTCTTGGTCATTGGTCAGAGGATGGGCAGACAATTCAATGCTGATAAGCTGTAAAAGCTTTCCATGCATTTTAATTTTTCCTTCATGAAATAGGAGAAAAAAGCTGGCAGGAGAGTTTTTTGTTTTGGGGTGAGTCGGTAGTAAACAAATCATCCCCAATCAATGTACTTTGGATTTGGCTAGGGGAGGGAATAATTCACAGTAATTTCGATTGGGCCTTTATGAATATGACCGATCACATTGGTATTAAGATAAACCCCTGAACAGACAAGCATAGATTAAAAATTAGTTTCTAAAACTGCAGTGGGGAAAAGCCCAGATGCTCTCCAGGGCTGCCACGAAGGAGCTGGGGGGATTTCCAGCAGGAGCTCCGAGCCTCACTTTCTCATCTCCCCGTGCCCCTCCCATTCTGTCGACCCCAGGCGTCCTGTATAACCAGTTCCTGTCGCAAGTGGACTTTGAGCTGCTGCTGGCCCACGCGCGGGAGTTGGGCGTGCTCGTGTTCGAGAACTCGGCCAAGAGGCTCATGGTGGTGACCCCAGCCGGGCACAGCGACGTCAAGCGCTTTTGGAAGCGGCAGAAACACAGCTCCTGAGCGTGCAGGACCTGGACCCGGGCGGACCTCGGCGGGCGGGACCGGGCGGGACCGGGCGGGGCGGGGCTTCAGAACTCAGGTGTTTTTTATTTACGCGTCGGGACTTCTCTTGTCTAATAAAATTGTGATAGTGAGCAGTGCGGTCCCGGGCGCCGCCCTGTGGGGTTCGCCTTAGCTGCGAGCGCCGTCCTCTCTGCGACGACTACCGCTGGACCGGGAGGGAGAGGGTGGGGCCAAAGCCAGCTGCTGCGCATGCGCCAGCCCGGGCTCCGCCCCCATGCGCCGCGCGGCTCCCGGGCCAAGTTCTAGCGTCGGGGTAGGTGGAGTCCCCAGTGCCTGCCGCCGCGGGGCGCCCTGGGATAGCGGCGGGCTCTCCCGGTGAGCGCACGCCGGGGCGGCCTCCGGGAAGTGAGAAGCGCTGCGGGGCCTGGGTCCACGCGTTGGGATAGGCGGGAAGGCCAGGCCGCGCCAGGCTGTGGGCGCTGCAGGAGGCCCTGCCAGGACTCCTTGCCTGCTCCTGGGCGCGCTGATGCCCATCATCTCCCTGAATTTCTGTGCCCTCTCCTCTCTTGTGTCAGTGGTTACGGCCACGTTCAGACACTCCGGCCCTGCTCCGGAAGAGCCCTGGTCTCCGTGGCTCCACGGCACTGCCTGTCGACACTGTGCCACTCTGGCCCTCCAGGAGGAAACGTGGTGTGGGAGGGATTAACAGACCTGTGCTAATCAGAGCCGGGAAAGATGGAACAAGGAGAGTGAGCCTCCTCCACCCGCGTATCCTAATGTGCTCTCTCTCTGCCCAGAACAGATCTCGGCCTCTTTCCAAACACTCCTGATGCCTCATTTGCCTCTGTCCTCTTTTCGACCACCTATTTTGGGGCTGAGGCACTCACGGGGCCTCCCCAGGTTCCATCCCGTTTCTACACAGTCGGAACCCCATGGATCTCCCATCTCCCGGAGGAACCGTGAAGCCAAACAGAAGCGCCTGCGAGAGAAGCAGGCGACTCTGGAGGCTGGGATAGCAGGGGAGAGCAAGGTTAGGGGTCAGACAGCTTGTCCTTGGGTTTCTGAGATTTGGGAGGGGCTGGACGAGATGGGCTGAAATGCAGATGTCTGGGGTATACTGGGTCGCAGCCTCTTCTGCTTTCTCTTCTCAGTCGCCTGCAGAATCCATTAAGGCCTGGAGTCCTAAGGAGGTAGTATTGTATGAAATCCCAACAAAACCCGGTGAAAAGAAAGGTAAGTAGAATAAGTAAGAAGGCCTTTTCTTTCCAGTTTGTGTTACCCTTTTGGCCTGCCGAAATGAGCTTGGGAACAAGTTCGGTGGTTAGTGGAGCTCTCCTTGCCTCCACAGATGTCTCAGGGCCCCTGCCTCCTGCATACAGCCCCCGATATGTTGAGGCTGCCTGGTACCCGTGGTGGGTACGAGAGGGTTTCTTCAAACCAGAATATCAGGTTAGTATCTGGCGGGGAGAGGTCCTAAGTGATCTCCAGGACAGAGTGGCCCTTGAATACAACTGGAACCTCAGAATGGAGCTCACATTGTAGTCTTTGCCTTCTTTCTGGCCGTGGTGTCTCCAAAGATTTCTCTTGGCAGGTTGTCCCTGGCCGATTCCCTCCTCTCCACTCCTGTTATTTGCAGGACAGTTCTTCCCTGAAGTTTTTTTCTGCTTTGGAGACAGCAGAGGGTGCTATTTCCTCAATCAAATTCTCTCTTGCCCTTTGACTTTTTTTCTTCCTCTAGGCCCAGCTGCCCCAAGCTACAGGGGAGACCTTTTCCATGTGTATCCCACCTCCCAATGTCACTGGCTCCTTGCACATCGGCCACGCACTCACGGTAGCCATACAGGATGCCCTCGTGCGCTGGTGAGAGGGGAGTGGAGGCAGCTTGATTTCTTGGAAGGGAAGTAGGAAGGGTAGGAATGAATGAGGATAAACATTTAAGCACGGGAGGGCATTTTTGTTGCAGGCATCGAATGCGTGGGGATCAAGTGCTGTGGGTCCCTGGTTCCGATCACGCGGGAATCGCTACACAAGTATGTCTTCTGGTATATGTTCCTTTTCTTGGGTGAAAGCAGTTTCTTCCCTGAAACCAACCTGACTGTTCATTTCCCCTGAATCCAACTGCAGGCTGTAGTGGAAAAACAACTGTGGAAGGAACGGGGAGTGAGGAGACATGAGCTGAGCCGGGAGGACTTCCTTAGGGAGGTGTGGCAGTGGAAGGAGGCGTGAGTATGATGGGCAGGGGTAGGGAGGCAGATTTGGGTTCTTACCTCCCACCACTATCACTTCTGATTTGTAGTCCCTGGCTCTTCCCAACACAGAGATGGAAGCTCTGGAGCCCCTTAACGTTTGGTGGCATTTCCAAGCCTTATTTGTGTGTGTGTGTGTGTGTATTATATATGTATTTGAATATTCGTGTGTGCGTGTGTGTGTGTGTGTGCATTTTTTCCTTCTCTCTACTTACCCCACTTTCTCTTGTGTAAATCTCAACTTCTTCCACTCACCCATTCCCACCTTCCAATTCCCATGGAATTACCCTCATTCTTCGGGTCCGTTATCTCATGTTACCTTCTCTGTGAAGCATCCTTGGATATCCCTCAATGTGGCTGTCCCTCCTCTCTTCCTATAGAATCTTTTGCCTCTTTTAATGTCTTAGAAAACTCCATACTGGGTTTGTGAGTCTGTTTCTATTAGCCTCTAGAGGTTTGACCTTCTTCCAGCACCTGGCATTGCTGGAGGCATTGCTGGGCCTGGTATGCTTGGGAAACATTTGCTGACAAGGATCTCTCTGGGCACAGGAAAGGTGGAGAGATCTGTGAGCAGCTGCGAGCTCTGGGTGCCTCCCTGGACTGGGATCGAGAGTGTTTTACCATGGATGCTGTGAGTGTTCCGTGCCTTGGTCCCTGTGAGCATTGGAGAAGGTTTAGAAATCTGTGTGGGGCAGGGAGGTGGCAATGCCTGGGTCCCTAAATAGGGTGATGGGCTAAGAAGTGGCTGTTAGAGGTGGACACTCAGGTCATTCCAGGGCTCCTCAGCGGCTGTGACTGAAGCTTTTGTGCGACTCTATGAGGCGGGGTTGCTGTACCGGAACCGTCAGCTTGTCAACTGGTCATGTGCTTTAAGATCAGCCATCTCGGACGTTGAGGTGAGGTGGAGAGAGAGAAGCAGGTTTGGGAGAACTCTGAGGCAGAGTGGTCAATGGTTAAGAGCTCAGACTCTGGAGCTAGGGTGCCTGGATTCAAATCTAAGGCCTGCCTCTGAGGGCTTTGTGGCTTTCGGCAGGCTGTTTGGTCTCCTTAAGCCTCAGCTTCCTCAGTCTGTAAATTAGAGATGATGTAATGCTTGCATCGTGGGGTGTTGTAAAAATTAAATGAGAATTCACCTAGGTGCTTGGCAAGATAACCTGGCCGTGGCTTAAGTGCTCAATGAATATTTATTAGAAGTGTGACTGCACAAGCATTGGGTGAAGGCAGACGGAGGTGGCTCCTGAATCCTCCAGATGGCTTTTAGATGGGTTGCAGGGAGGCTGGGCAGGTGGATGAGTGGCAGAGTGAAACCTGGGTATAAGCCTTGCAGAAAGGCTGCCCTCTGACCCAGCTTTCTCGGTGCCTCCAGGTGGAGAACCGGCCGCTTCCTGGCCACACAGAGCTTCGACTGCCTGGCTGCCCCACCCCTGTGTCTTTTGGCCTCCTGTTTTCTGTTGCCTTCCCTGTGGATGGAGAGCCTGGTAAGCAAAGTCCTCTGCAGGGTCACCCATTTACCTCTATTTTCCTTGCTTTCTGGAGCCCATGTTGGGCTGCTCGGCACCCATCAGTCTGTCTCCCACATGAACCTTGGTAGTGTTCACCTCAGTGTGGGCACTTACCCTGCCTGGGTCTTCTGGGGGATGTGCAAAAAGTGCATGTGGTCACTGCCCTTCGAGAGCTTGGTGTGACTCTGCAGGAGTGCGCTACCCAGGAAGGAGACATAAGATCAGTTCTAAGGTATGGCGTTTAGGGTAAATGTTCTGAAGAGCTCAGAGAAAGGGAAGACAGATGAGCTAGAATCGTCAGAGGAAGCTTCTGGTAGGAGGGGCTGAGTGTAGGTGGCGGGAGCACTGGTGTCCAGCCCCTGCACAGGTGCTCACCCTGAAGAATGTACAGCATTTGTGATTAGGGCACAGAATCCCCAGTGTCCTCTGGGCATCCAGCAAGAATTCTACTTTAGCTGATGTAATTAATGCTGCCCCCATTTCTTCCAGGCAAATTCCTTAGCACCAGACACCCTCTCAGGTCTCTGGTCATCAGCTTATGGGAAACCCTCGGTTCCTATAAACACTGCTCCTACTTTTTTCTAGTTATTCCTGGGGTCCTCTTCCACGCTGACTACTCCCTGCCCCTTCCCCTTTCCACTTCTACTGCCTTTAGCTATGCTGGCAGTGAGGAGTGAGGATGATGACCAGCTGTAAGTGCTTAAATGTTTGTCTCCAGACGCAGAGGTTGTGGTAGGAACCACGAGGCCAGAGACACTGCCTGGGGACGTGGCTGTGGCTGTTCACCCAGATGATTCCCGTTACACGGTAATACCCAGTGTACTACTGCATTCTGGCCTGCCCACTCCCATGGCCTTCTCTTGGGTTTTGTTTATTATTATTATTTTATTTTTAATTAATTAATTTATTTATTTTTGAGACAGAGTTTCAGTTTCGTTCTTGTTACCCAGGCTGGAGTGCAATGGCGTGATCTCAGCTCACTGCAACCTCCACCTCCTGGGTTCAGGCAATTCTCCTGCCTCAGCCTCCTGAGTAGTTGGGATTACAAGCATGTGCCACCATGCCCAGCTAATTTTTTTTGTATTTTTAGTAGAGACGGGGTTTCACCATGTTGACCAGGATGGTCTCGATCTCTTGACCTCGTGATCCACCCATCTCAGCCTCCCAAAGTGCTGGGCTTACAGGCGTGAGCCACCGTGCCCGGCTATTTATTTATTTTTGAGACAGAGTCTACTCTGTCACCCAGGCTGGAGTGCAGTGGTGCGAATCTTGGCTCACTGCAACCTCTGCCTCCTGGGTTCAAGCAGTTCTCCTGCCTCAGCCTCCTGAGTAGCTGGGATTACAGGCACTTGCCACCATGCCTGGCTGATTTTTGTATTTTTAGTAGAGACGGGATTTCACCATCTTGGCCAGGCTGGTCTTGAACTCCTGACTTCGTGATCCACCGGCCCCGGCCAAAGATCGGGGATTCCGTGAGCCACCGTGAGCCACCGTGCCCAGCCTTCTCTTGGGCTTTCAATGGTGGCTCCTTCTCTCTTGCTTCTACTTCCTTTTCCTGAGACTTCTCTCAGACCTGCAGGGTCTCTGATTTGACTCCCTCACCTTCTTATACTTTTTCTCTAGCTCAGGGATTGACAAACTGGCCCATGGTCCTAATCCAGCATGCAGCCTTATATATTATTTATGGCCGCTATTATATACCCTCTCCAAGCTCTGCTGCAGTGGCAGAATAGAGTAATTGTGCAGAGACTGAATTTGTCTCTAGGCCTAAAAGCCTAAAATATCTCCATTCTGGCCCCTTAAGAGTTTGTTGACTTTGCTCTAGCTTGCTACCTTCCACTTTCTGCTCTCTTATTCCTGGGGTTCTCACACCCCAGCCCAGACCCTTTCACCTCACCCAGGTGCCTGTCCCTGATCCCTCTCCCTTCCCTTCAGCATCTACATGGGCGACAGCTTCGTCACCCCTTGATGGGACAGCCTCTCCCCCTCATCACAGACTATGCTGTTCAGCCACATGTGGGCACAGGTGAGTGAAGGGCAGGGAGAGAGAGAAAGTTGGGGGTCCTGGAGGAGAGGGGAGGGAACCAGGAGGAGGAGGAGGAAGGTGGGGGTGGGAGAGCCTCACACAGGGTGTTCTGAGTGGAGAATGGGAGGGAGGCACAGACAGAGAAAGTCGTAGGGGGCTGGGGCAGTGCGGTGATGAGGGCGGCGCGGGTGATGACGATACATCTGGAAAAGCAAAAGCCAAGGTCAGGTGCAGGACTCAACCATGGCTGTGCTCCCCCAGGGGCCGTGAAGGTGACTCCAGCTCACAGTCCTGCCGATGCTGAGATGGGGGCCCGACATGGCTTGAGCCCCCTGAACGTCATTGCGGAGGATGGGACCATGACCTCCCTCTGCGGGGACTGGCTGCAGGTGGTACCAGCCTGTGTTACCCCATCCTTTGGGGGCACCTGTCTGCCTACTTCTCCCCTGAGTTTCTTATTTCTCTAGAGGACTTTCAGCTTTACTCTTGCTGCTTTTTCTCTAGGGTCTTCACCGGTTTGTGGCCCGGGAAAAGATAATGTCTGTGCTGAGTGAACGGGGCCTGTTCCGGGGCCTCCAGAACCACCCCATGGTACTGCCCATCTGCAGGTAACCTCATTTCAGCTCCTTTACTAAGGGCTACCCCCAAAAGGGAATGCATGAAGCTTAAGAGTGACAATAGGGTGGGCTCTGTCTGCACCCCTCCATTAGAATACAAGCTCCGTGTTCGTTCACTATTCTATCCTCAGTACCAAGGGCCTGGCATGGCATAGGGTCTTGTGCCCCTGGGAGAAGTCACAGGGCCAGAGGAGCAGTGGACTCACCCTGTCTTCCTTTCAGTCGTTCTGGGGACGTGATAGAATACCTGCTGAAGAGCCAGTGGTTTGTCCGCTGCCAGGAAATGGGGGCCCGAGCTGCTCAGGTGAGGCTGCAGTGTAGGAAGGACCGGGCCAGGGGTTGGGGGAGCTCCCATGAGAACTGAAATGAAGAAGTGGGAGGCAGAGGGACCTCTGCCCCGAAGGCCTCTCCAGCTGTGGTAATTGAGAGGATGTGTGGGAGGGAGGCCGGGCAGCCCAGAAAGGGCTGGCTCATATCCTTACTCAAGCCCAGAATCTTTGCAGGAGACTTGAGAGGTTCTTTCTGAATTTTAAAATGACCTCAGAGGCCGCCTGTTGTATCCATGGAGGTGCGGCCGTGCAGGAAGGGAAACATTGTCTAAAGGCCCCATTCCCTCCAGGCTGTGGAGTCGGGGGCGCTGGAGCTCAGTCCCTCCTTCCACCAGAAGAGCTGGCAGCACTGGTTTGCCCACATCGGGTAAGGGTGGGGTAAGGGTGGGGTAAGGGGAGCTCTTGTGGAGATGGGGAGGAGGGACCGACTGGTTATTCTAAGACTTCATGGATGTCCTCCCGGCAGGGACTGGTGTGTCTCCCGGCAGCTGTGGTGGGGCCATCAGATTCCAGCCTACCTGGTTGTAGAGGACCGTGCGCAGGTGGGTAGGAAGAAGCCCTGGGAGGGCTGAGTGGCACAGAGCACCTGGCCCAGGAGTCGGAGCATTGCAGTGCCAGGCCCGCTCCTGCCTGTTCAGGTGCTTTGTGCTCGTAGTCACTTAACCTTCTGCGCTATTAAGTCTCCCTGAACTGGGGTTTCTTTATCTCACCCCAGAGGAACCTGGCCACTCTAAGACCACATGAGAAGACATGAAAATGAAGTGACATTTACACCTGTCAGCTGTTCTTTCTTACCCTCCCCAACCCCTTACTACTTCTGCAGGGCGAAGAAGACCGTTGGGTGGTTGGACGGTCAGAGGCTGAGGCCAGAGAGGCAGCAGCAGAACTGACAGGGAGGCCCGGGGCAGAGCTGGCCCTGAAGAGGGGTGAGTGCCTGAGCTGGGGAGGGATGTACAGGGGAGCGGGAAACTGGGCATTTGGGCCTTTGAAGGGAACAGATACCGAGATGGAGAAGGTAGGGTCAGGAAAGCTGGGAATGGAGCCAAAGGGGACAGTCCTGGTCTCTGGGGGTGGGAGTTGGCCTAGAATGGTGGCAGCAGTGGTCTGAGGTCCTGGAAGCCGAGGTTCCAACTGTCCCCATTCCTTTTCTGTTTCCCAGACCCTGATGTCCTGGACACATGGTTCTCTTCTGCCCTGTTCCCCTTTTCTGCCCTGGGCTGGCCCCAAGAGGTGAGGCAGGTTGAGAGGGCGAGAGTGAAGGGGAAACTGAGGAAGGGATGGCTAGTCCCTTTCATTGGCTTGAGGAGGGCCCGGGGCCCTGGGCCTCTTACTGCTGTCTTCCCTCTAGACCGCAGACCTTGCTCATTTCTACCCGCTGTCACTTTTGGAAACGGGCAGTGACCTCCTGCTGTTCTGGGTGGGCCGCATGGTCATGTTGGGGACCCAGCTCACAGGGCAGCTGCCCTTCAGCAAGGTAACAGCCCGTCAGTGCCCCACCCCTTTCTGTGACCCCAGTATTCCTCAAACCTTGTCCTCTCTTATTCTAATTCCTAATGTGGTTGTTTCCATGTTCCCAATTCCTTTTTCCTGATTCACTTCCCATCACCCCCGAAAGTATGGAGGCCAGAGATCCCAAGGGACCCCCAAGGAAAGGCTCGTGGAGCCCCCCCTCTGCTGACTCCTCCCTGCCTCCAGGTGCTTCTTCATCCCATGGTTCGGGACAGGCAGGGCCGGAAAATGAGCAAGTCCCTGGGGAATGTGCTGGACCCAAGAGACATCATCAGTGGGGTGGAGATGCAGGTGAGGACGAAGTGCCCACAGGAGGGACAGGGTTGGCAGGGTTCGCAGGAGAGAGGAAGGGAGGCTGAAGGAGGAGTGAGGCCCGTGGGTGTGACCCTTGTAGAGGCGAGGCCTTTGACGTGGGTCGTGAATAACCCCCTCCCCAGGTGCTGCAGGAAAAGCTGAGAAGTGGAAATTTGGACCCTGCAGAGCTGGCCATTGCGGCTGCGGCACAGGTAAGTGGGTGCTGCCTGCCGCCTCCCAGCTCTAGCTCACCTGCCTCTGGCTTCCTCCGCAGCCTGGGTCCTGGCCCTGCTGCCGCAAAGGCATCTGCCACCCTTCTTTTTCCTCTGGTTGCAGAAAAAGGACTTTCCTCATGGGATCCCTGAGTGTGGGACAGATGCCCTGAGATTCACACTCTGCTCCCATGGAGTTCAGGGTAAGCCTGCACTGAGGGGTGTTGGGTGAGCAGAGGGCAGCGGGCACCTGTGCAGGGGCAGGACATCCAGTGCTGCCGCCACCTACACGCAGACTAGCTCCATTCTCTTGTTCCAGGGGGCGACTTGCGCCTGTCCGTCTCTGAGGTCCAGAGCTGCCGACATTTCTGCAACAAGATCTGGAATGCCCTGCGCTTTATCCTCAATGCCTTAGGGGAGAAATTTGTGCCACAGCCTGCTGAGGAGGTAAGAGAAAGGCAGAGGTGCTTGGGAGTGGGGGTAGTCAGGTGTCAGGGCCTGAGGTGGCATCTGGAAGGAAAGGAGGCAGGGGAGGGGGCGTCAGGCCGTCCTGGGCCTGACACCCCCTCTGTCTGCAGCTGTCTCCCTCCTCCCCCATGGACGCCTGGATCCTGAGCCGCCTTGCCCTGGCCGCCCGGGAGTGTGAGCGGGGCTTCCTCAACCGAGAGCTCTCACTTGTCACTCACGCCCTGCACCACTTCTGGCTCCATAACCTCTGCGATGTCTACCTAGTGAGTGGGGCTGGAGGAGGCTCGGCATTCCCAGTCCTGCAGACCTGCTTCTCATTCCTGGCATAGAGCTCTGGAGTTAATAAGTTCCCAACTGTCCCATCAGGAGAGGGGAGGAGAGGGGAGGAGAGGAGATGAAGGAGTTCCCCTCTTCCTGGGACTGCTTTCAGCAGTGTGGCCAGGCACTGTTGCCTGCCTGTCACCTGGTGAGAGGACGAGGAGGAGACTTCTAGAAGTGTCTGACAAGTTGGGGTCAGAAGGCAGAGAGGCATTTTTTCTGTCCCTGTAGTTGCTGAGTTTGGCCCGTGGGCAGGCTGCGTGCAGAGAGGCCTGGGAGTGGGTAGCAGTGGGCTTTAGACCAGGAGTTCTCACGCTGTCCTACGCCCAAAGCACCCGTGGGGCTTGTTGACCATGGATCCCAGCTGCCCCTGAGCGGCTCCTTCAGCAGGTTGGGGTAGGGGGTGGGGGTGGGTGCTAAGAATATTCATTTCTTGTCCCAGGTGGTGCTGCTGCTGCTGGCTGCAAACCACTGCCCTAGCTCAGCCTTTTAAAAACTTTTGACCCTTTTGATAAGCAAAAAATCTAAAAACAAATCAAAAACTCGGAAAAACGCAATGATTTTTTTTCTCTACACTACGCATTTCCCTGGAAATCTTATCCCCGTGTACTTCTGAGAATTGCTGCCCTGGGTTTCCCTTCTTTGCGCTGAGTGTGTCCTGGGACTGCGGATCATATTGGACGTGCTAAATGCTTCTGCCTGTTCCTCTCTCCCAGGACCCATGGCCTGTCCCGCTGGCGGGTAGGGCACTGGCTGTGGGGTGGAGGGCTCTGGCTCTGGCCTGTCTTCTGACCATTGGCTTCCTCTCCAGGAGGCTGTGAAGCCCGTGCTGCGGCGCTCGCCCCGCCCCCTGGGGCCCCCTCAGGTCCTGTTCTCCTGCGCTGACCTTGGCCTCCGCCTCCTGGCCCCACTGATGCCCTTCCTGGCTGAAGAGCTCTGGCAGAGGCTGCCCCCCAGGCCTGGTTGCCCCCCTGCCCCCAGCGTCTCGGTTGTCCCCTACCCCAGCGCCCAAAGCGTGGTGAGTGCCAGGTACATGACACCTCGGAGTGGGCTCTCTGGTGAAGGATGGGGAGCGGCTTCTGAAAGCGTTCGCTGCAGGGGCTCATCTGCAGGAATGGCTTATACTTTACTTTGGATGCCTGGGGGGAGGATGGACTGTTCCTGCACGGTGGTTGCGATGACCCTAGGGTCTTGAGGGACAGTGTTAGCATAGTGCTCAAAAGCAGGACTTGCTAGACTGATATTTTTGAGCTGTGTGATCGAGCCTCAGTTTCCCCCATGTTTAAACTAGGAACAGTCATAGTATATGTCATGGTTGTGATGAGGGTGGGTGTCCCCAAAATCTCAGTGCAGCTTTAATAACTTCAGAAGGATAAATGCTATAAATGCACCCAAAAATTATTTTAAAATTTAACTATTTAAATATCTTTTATACTTATTTGTTTTTGAGTTTTGACTAATTCATTTTAAATTCTAATTTATTTTTGGTTGGCCATTTCGATCAGAGCAACTAGGCTGACATCAAACACTGATCATCTGGAACCTCTAGATGACACCTCACTTTTTGTCATGTTCCTTGAGATAGTGGATTTTCTGTGGTGAGGACAGATCTCCTTGCCCTAAGGAGATGGGGCAGATGGGTCGAGGACAGAGTCAGAGGGTTGGTACTGAGTCTCCCAGGAGCCCCTTTGCTAACTCTGGGTCCTTCATCTCCAGGAGCACTGGCGCCAGCTGGAGCTGGAGCAGCACTTCTCCCGGGTCCAGGAGGTGGTGCAGGTGCTGAGGGGTCTCCGAGCCACGTACCAGCTCACCAAAGCCCGGCCCCGAGGTGAGGCAGGGTGGGTCCTGGACTCGGTTCTTTGCAGGAAGAGGGAGCTGGTGGGGAAAGGAGGAGAGCCTGAAGGGTAGACCCCGTCATTAGGAGGTGCAGGTGGGACGGCAGGCAGGAGCCTAGACCTTGCCCCTGACGGTTTCTGTCTTTCCAGTGCTGCTGCAGAGCTCAGAGCCGGGGGAGCAGGGCCTCTTTGAGACCTTCTTGGAGCCCCTGGCCACCCTGGCCCACTGTGGGGCTGTGGGCCTGTTACCTCCAGGTGCAGCAGCTCCCTCTGGCTGGGCCCAGGCTCCACTCAGTGACACGGTTCAGGTCTACATGGAGCTGCAGGTGACCAGAGGGGATGGGGAGGCTTAGGGCAGGCTTGGGAAGCATGCTGGGAGGAAGATGGGGGCTGGGCTGTATACAGTGGGGGAGGGAACCTTCTAATGGAGGACGGAGGCCTGGCAGCATGCGAGTGTCTGAGCCCTTTCTCCCTGTTCTTCCCCAGGGCCTGGTGGACCCCCAGATCCAGCTATCTCTGTTAGCTGCCCGAAGGCACAAGTTGCAGAAGCAGCTTGATGGCCTCATAGCCAGAACCCCATCAGAAGGGGCGACAGAGACTCAGAGGCAACAAAAGGTAAGGTTGGGGAGGCCCCCAGAAGGCCTGACCCCGGAGGGAATGGGGGCCAGGAGTGGTGGGCCTCATGCCTGGATCCTCACCTCCTTTTCTCCTGGTCCAGCTTTCTTCCCTCCAGCTGGAAATGTCAAAATTGGACAAGGCGGTTTCTCACCTCCGGCAGCTGATGGATAAGCCTCCAACCCCAGGGAGCCTGGAGCTCTAACTCATCGTCTCCATCAGTTTTCTCCCTCTCAGACCTGTCTTTGAGGACAAACAGATTTGTCAGCTGTCAGGATGCAGTAGGACATCAGAGATTATGTGGCCCATTGCCTTCATTTCGTAAATGAGGAAACAGACTGATTTGGTTGTTGCAGTGACTGTGGTGTCCTTGAGACACCACACGTTGAGATGCTCACGTTACTGCCTGGCCTGCCTCCCACCTGGAAGTTTGGGAATGAGGAGATTCAGATAAACTTTTAAAATTCCAAACATGTCTGCTTATGGCTCTTTGGTCCCCTTTGCTCCTAGTGGTGACTTCTGTGCTTCTCAGTTGTCCCCTGAGAATTTGGTCTGGGAAAAGAGGAGGGGGGCTTCCTTGCTGGAGGAAGAGGGGCTTTCTAGTCACGGGGTAGAGCATAGGTATGGTGGTTCCGGTTCTACCTACCTTCTGGACTGACTGACAATACCCCGGCTTTTGCAGGCCCTTTCTCCTCTACTTCTCTCTGAATGGAAGCGTCCTTGTTCCTTGGCTCTATCCCTAGAGGTGCTGAGAGAAGCAGGCCCCCTCCAGACCTGATGGGCTGCAGGCTGTGCTGTAGACGGCGTGCCTCCACCTTCTGTGCTCTTGACACCAGAGTGCCAGAGACACTGCCCAGCCTCTGAGTTCACAGTCACAGGAGCACAGCCAGCCACCTTACCCACCCCAAACACTGTCTCATCTCCATGGAATTCAGGGGCCTGGCCCTTCCACGCCCAGGGTACATTCTGTCCAGCAGCTCTGAGTAGCCTGTCCTGGGCTGGGTCCTCTATGGTGCTAGATGTGCAATGCCATTTAATCCTACTGAAAACCTCACGAGGTGGGCGTTAACTCCGTTTTGGAGATGTTTAGTTTCACTGTATTTTTGAGACAGGTTTTGCTCTGTTGTTCAGGCTGGAGTGCAGTGGCACAGTTGTGGCTCGCAGTAGCCTCAACCTTTTGCCTCCTGAGTAGCTGGGAGCACAAGTGTGTGACGCTGCGCCCTGCTAATTTTTTTTTTTTTTTTTTTTTTTTTGAGTTTCATTTTATCACCAAGGCTGGAGGGCAGTGGTGAGATCTTGGCTCACTGTGACCTCTGCCTCCTGGGTTCAGGTGATTCTCCTGCCTTAGCCTCCTGAGTAGCTGGGATTACAGATATCCACCAACATGCACAGCTTTTTTTTTATTTTTTATTTTTAGTACAGACAAAGTTTCACCATGTTGGCAAGGCTGGTTTCAAACTCCTGACCTCAAGGGATCTGCCAGCCTCAGCCTCCTAAAGTGCTCGGATTACAGTGGGAGTCACCATGCCCAGCCCTGCCCTGCTAATTTGTAAGATTTTTGGAGAGACAGGGTTTTGCCATGGTGGTCTTGAACTTCTGGGCTCAAGTGATCCACCTGCCTTGGCCTCCCAAAGTGTTGGGATTACAAGCTTAAGCCATTGCACCCAGCCCCATTTTGGAGATGAAGACGTGCTCAGAGAAGTCTCCACTGGGACCTAACCCAATAAATTAGGTGTAGGCTCTTTCTGGCTGCTATAACTAAACTTCAAATACAGTAGTGGCTTAGATGAGGGGATGTTTCTTTTGCTGGGCTTAAGTAGTGCAGAGCTCTGCAAGAATGGCCCACACCTCCTTTAATCTTATTTTTCTGCCATTCTGATACATTGTCAAACTGCACGCCCAAGGTCTGCACCAGCTCCCATCACCGTGTCTGTGTTTTCACCCAGAGGGAAGAGGGAAAGAAGGGGATGGGCAGTTTCCTTTTTTTTTTTCACTGTTTCAATAAAGTTTTTTTTTTTTTTTTCTTTTTTCCTTTGAATACGGCTGGGCCTTATTCTGGACACTTGGATTCATCAGTGAATGAAACACAGTTCTGTGCCTTTGTAGTAGTGTCGTTCTAGCAGGACAGTGAGAAATAACATGCAAATAAGTGAACTACATACTATGTTTGAATGTCATGAATGCAGGGGAGAAAAAGGATATAGCAAGGTAAGGCAACTCGAATGTGTTTGTGTGGGGGTGCAGGTTGTAGTTTTAAATAGTGGATCATGGCATTATTCACTGTAAAGGTGAGGTTTAAGCAAAGGCTTGTAGGAGGTATAGGAAGAGTGTTTCAGACAAAGGGAAGGGCCAGAGGAAAACTGAGATGGAGGCACACTTGGACAGCTTGAAGAGTAGCTGGAGACCAGTGTGGTGGGGCAGAGTGAGAAGGGGAGGATGGCGGGAGGTGGAGTCAGGGAGGTGAGGGTGGGGAATTGGTGGGGGGTAGGGAAGACTCAAGGCGGACAATCTGGGGCTTGTGTCCAAAATGGTAGCCAGTTAGCTATCTAAAGTAAATACAATTAAACATTCAGTTTCTCAGTCATACTGGCCACATTTCAAGTGTTCTGGTAGTTGCATGTGGCCAGTGGCTTCTATGTTGGTCAGCACAGTTATAAAACATTTCCATCACCACAGAAAGTTCTATTGGAAAGTGCTGATCTAAGACCTTATAGGCTGTTTTAAGAACTTTGCTTTTCCTCCTCTGAAATGGAAGCTCCTTTCTTTTCAAGGATATTACCAGGAAGTTGCCCACCTCCTTTCTACTTGCATCCTATTGGACAGAAGCTGATCACATGGCCATACCTGGCTGCAAGGGAGGCTGGGAAATGTAATGAGCCACATGCTGAGTTGAAATCTACATGACTATCCAAAAGGAGAAGGATGGCTATTAGAGGGCCAGTTAGCAGTCTCTGCCACCCCCAGGTCTGGTGGACCCCAAAGCACTCTTCACTGTTTTGAGCCTTGGGAGACAGTTCTTTGAGAAAAATAATCTGGAAATCCTGGTGATCTCAGGCCCTGAGATCTAGGAACAGGTTGAGGTGCATTTAGCTGTCTGCTCCACCAACCTCTTGGACATTCAGATATCCAGTCCCTAACTTGTTTGGGGATCCTCACAGCTGCCCCATGGGCATCACCTGCCCACTGGTGCGGGCTAGGGCAATTTGTAAAATACTAATTTCCTTTGCAGCCCCTTGCTACCTCTCCTTGGGGGCTGACTGTCCCAGGACAGTTGTGAATGAAGGTAGACCAATTTTTTTTTTTTTTTTTTTTTTTTTTGAGACGGGGTTTCGCTCTTGTTACCCAGGCTGGAGTGCAATGGCGCGATCTCGGTTCACCGCAACCTCCGCCTCCTGGGTTCAGGCAATTCTCCTGCCTCAGCCTCCTGAGTAGCTGGGATTACAGGCATGTGCCACCATGCCCAGCTAATTTTTTGTATTTTTTTAGTAGAGACGGTGTTTCACCATGTTGACCAGGATGGTCTCGATCTCTTGACCTCGTGATCCACCCGCCTCGGCCTCCCAAAGTGCTGGGATTACAGGCTTGAGCCACCGCGCCCAGTCTAGACCAATTTTTAAAGTGTTTGTTTCCACTCTCCCACTTTCTATGCTCCCCTCACCTTCAGTGATGTTCCATACTGAACTCTTGTTGTCTTCTCTCTCCAAAGGAGTCAGTCTCCAATTTCATATGGTGGTAACAGAGGGTTGGGTAGGTGTGGGGGGGCGGGTGGGTGCCACAGAAGACAGAAATCCTACCAGTACCACCCCCAACTGTGTTCAAGTCTGAGCTGTAAGTTTGTGTTTTGACAGCTGGTGAGAAGTCAAGATAATCTTTTTTTTTTTTTTTTTGAGACTGGAGTTTCGCTCTTGTTGCCCAGGCTAGAGTGCAATGGCGCGATCTCGGCTCACCGCAACCTCTGCCTCCTGGGTTCAGGCAATTCTCCTGCCTCAGCCTCCTGAGTAGCTGGGATTACAGGCACGCACCACCATGCCCAGCTAATTTTTTGTATTTTTAGTAGAGACGGGGTTTCACCATGTTGACCAGGATGGTCTCGATCTCTTGACCTCGTGATCCACCCGCCTCGGCCTCCCAAAGTGATGGGATTACAGGCTTGAGCCACCGCGCCCGGCCAAGATAATCTTTTTTTTTTTTTTTTTTTTTTTGGGACAGAGTCTTGCTCTGTAGCCCAGGCTAGAGTGCATGACCCCAGCTCATTGCAGCCTCCACCTGCCGGGTTCAAGCAGTTCTGCCTTGGCCTCCTGAGTAGCTGGGACTACAGGCACACACCACCGTGCCCAGCTAATTTTTGTATATTTAGTAGAGACAGGGTTTCACTATGTTGGCCAGTATGGTCTCGATCTCCTGACCTTGTGATCCACCTGCCTCAGCTTCCCAAAGTGCTGAGATTACAGGCATGAACCACTGTGCCTGGCCAAGATAATCTTGAGGAGGTGGTCAGGAGTGCCTGCCTTAGAAATTAGGATAAGGAGGACCCTGAACCCCAGGGGACTAGGACTTACTGTGTTGAGACTAGGTTTCCATCCTAACAGCAATGCCTACCATCCTGCCAACATCCTATAAGACAGGCTGTGGCACGTCCCTAAGTAGCTTACCCCTGTGATCCTCACAAGCAATCTGATGGTGCAGGTATAATGAGAAAAACTCAGAATTGTGTTAAAAAAAAAAAAAGAAAAAAGAAAAAAGAAACACCTTCCCCCAAACTGGGAGGGAGCTCAGAGGCTGAAGAGTAGCTCTGAGAAGTCCAGCTTGGTGAGTAGATGAATATTTTAGGACTTACACACAGGGCCACTCCTGGATGGCAGCAGGACAGCTTTAGAGATCTGTGCTGCCTCCCACCCCAAAGCTGCTTTCAAGCTAATTTTCTGACTCTTTGCCTACTGTGTGTGCGTGACGAGACTGCTTTCCTTGATGGGTTCCCAGATACTCTCCACTGATGTTTGGGTTATCAGGGACACCTGCTCCTTGGCCAGGCACCGTGACCTTGGCTCATCACCTGGCCTTCAGGAGTCAGGCAGCAGCAGCATACACCCTTAAGTAACCTGGTGGAAGACGTGTCACCCTGAAGCAGGTACCATCCTTGTCCCCATTTTGTGAGTGAAGAAATGGAGGCTTTAAGAGTATAAGAAACATGCCCGGGATTCACGTGTGGCCCCTTGTGGCCTGTGTGGCCTCATGCTCACGTGGCCCAGCATGGGCTCAGGCTTGCACCTGGCCACCACTTGCACCTCCCCACCATTTGCACCTGGCTGGCCATCCTCTCACAAGCCGAACCCCTCATCTCTCACCTGAGTGCCCCCCAACCTCCTACCCTGATTACCTGCGTGGGTCCTTGGGTTTGGGGGACCTGGGGGTGTTCTGCCTATATCTCTGTTTGGTTTTGAACCTCCCAGCCCCAAAGCTTAAGTAAAGGG